CATGGTCCGGTGTCATCGCCGCGGCCGCGCCAGTTTCTCGGTGGGGTTCGGCTGCGGGGGTGGGGGGCAGCCCTGTGACGTCACCGGGCGGTATGAGGTTACCTGAGCCCATGACGTCATCCTGCATGTGGCCACGGTGGCTCGAGGCGATGGGCTGTGGCATGACCCTGGCTCAGCGGTGACGTCACAGAGTGACGTGTCACCGTCCCCGCTGAGGCCAGGGCAGTGTCCCGCTGGACCCGGTGGCGCGGGTGACACCATGGAGTGACCTGGGGTGACGGGTGCCAGGAGAGGGGCAGAGCCCTCCTGCTGCTCCTGCACCCTGGCCGGGTGACATCGGGTGACACCGGCCACGGCCCAGAGGCCAGAACCCTCACACAGCCCTCACATGGCGGGCTGCCACGACACAGCGTGCCAGCTCGGAGCCAGAACCCCCACGGGAGGGTGACACGGGGTGACACGGGGTGACACGGGGTGACCAGCCACAGCCGAGGGGCCGGACCCCCGTGGTGCTCCCGCAGTGGCAGGGCTGGGTGACTTGGGGATGACACAGAGCCACGGGCCGAGTGCTGTCCCTGCCCCACAGCTGAGCCATGAGGGGCCAACACTGCCCTTGAGGGAGCTCAAGCCACTGGGGACACGTGGGGACACTGCTGTCCCCCGCCCCACACGCACACCAGACCTCGGAGCTGCCCTCGGGTGGGCCCACGGCCCCTTTATTGCCTGCAGCAGGGAGGGGGGTCCCCAAACCCCCCACCCATGGGGGGCTGAGCCCCAGCGTCTCCCCCACGCCCCCCAGCAGTGGGGCAGGAATGTCCCTGAAATGTCCCTGCAGGAGCGAGGACGTGGCCCCGGCCCCGTGGCCGTCCCGGTGTCCCCGGATGGGGAATAAATAGGACGGGAGCTCCGCACGGGGCGAGGCAGTGGCTCCGGAGCCGTGGAGGTCCTGGCAGATCCGTCTGTCCCGGGGACACCCCGCTGGGGCCCGGGGACACCCCGCTGGGTCCCGGCGCTGTCCCGGTCCCTGCTCCGGAGGAGGCAGTCACAGCTCGTCGTGTGGGATGTGGAGCGCGTGGTCACACAGGTCTGTGGGGACAGCAGGGGACAATCAGGGTGTGCTGGAGCCCTGGGGGACCCTCAGGGCGTGGTGGAGCACAGTGGAAGTTCTGGGATATGCTGGAGGCCCATAGGACTCCCAGGATATGACAGAGCTTTTGGACCTTCCATGTCCAGAGCCCCGTGGGACCCTCAGGATGTACCAGACCCCCGTGAGACCCTCAGGACATGACAGCCCTGTGGGACACATCACAGCCCCGTGGGACTCTCCTGTGCAGTCCCTGCTGTGACCTGAGCTGGGGCCAGCAGCATTTCCCTGGCTTTGTCCTGTGGTTGATGACAAATGCGGCTGTTTGGACACAGCCACAGCCCAGCCTGTCCCTGCTCTGGCCCCAGCGCTGCCAGATGCAGGAGGAGCCCCAGGAGCAGCTGTCGAGACCCTCAGGATCCCCTGGGACAGAGCATTGCCCTGATGGCTGTGCCAGGTACAAAGGGATCTGCCCTGGCCCCGTCCAGGGCCCCATCCAGCACTGGAGTGGCCCAAAGGTCACGTCGTGCCCTGACCTGGGTGTTTGTGAGCTGGAAATAGCCCCAGAATGGGGACAGGGCCACTGGATGTGCCAGGAGAGGCCACAGAGTCAGCACAGCAGCTGCCCTGGCTCGGCCCCAGCATCCCAAAAAAACCCCAGTGGCGGCAGAGCCCGGGCACTGGGCTGCGATGGGGTGCTGGGATTTGGGGAAGAACTCGCAGCTCCTCCCTGCTTTGGGCTGGCAGCAAATCCCAGCCCAGGACCGACAGAGCAGCCACAACCCCTGGGACAGCAGGAGAGACCCCCAGGACAGCCCCTGCTCTGGGCCTGGTATCTCCTCCCATTCCAGCACTGATGGAGCACAAGAGACCCCCAGAAGAGCAGGAGAGACCCCTTGGGACGGCCTGAGCTCTGGGCTGGCAGCAAATCCCATCCCAGCAGCAATGGAGCAGATCCAGCCCCTGGAACAGCAGGAGAAACTCCCTGGAACTGCAGGAAAGACCCCCAGGGACAGCCCCTGCTCTGGGTCAGTATCTCCTCCCATCCCAGCACTGACAGAGCAGGACAGACCCCCGGAAGAGGAGGAGAAACCCCCTGGGACAGCAGCAAAGATCCCCTGGGACAGCCCCTGCTCTGGGCTGGCATCTCCTCCCATGCCAGCACTGATGAGACCCCCAGAAGAGCAGGAGAGACCCCCAGGGACAGCCCCTGCTCTGAGCTGGCATCTCAGCACCAACGGAGCAGCCACGACCCCCGGAGCAGCAGCAGAGCCCCCCGGCTCACCCGTCCTCTTGCTGCAGAGCCGGTCCTTGACGTTCTCAGCCTCGTGCGAGAGAAACTCGATGAGCTCATCCTCGTATTCCTCAGCGATGCTCTCGCACTGCAACGGGACACGGCAGCGGTGCCACCGCCGGTCTGCAGGAGCCCTCGTCCCACCCACACCCCCCAGGACTCCCCTGTCCCCTCACACACCGCGAATTTCAGGCTGGAGGTCACATCCCCGTCGAATTTGACTCCGGAAAGGTCCATCTTGGTGCCGTCGTGGGAGATGACCCGGACGTAGCTCTTGCGGTGCGTGGCCGGATCCACCTTCTCGCCGTACTCCTTCATCTTCTCGCACACGCGCTCCAGCAGCTCCGTCAGGTGCGCCTCCGAGCGAGCGTACGGCACCTGCAGCCCCCGGGGAGGGGTCAGCGGCGTCCCCAGGAGCGGCACGGGCAGCGGGGACACCGCCAGGGG